TATGTATACATGCTAAAAGTTTGCAATCACTGATAGATTACATGTTAAATACTAATAGCTGCTAGATATTGATAGTTACTTTTGCTTTTAAACAATTACATTTAAAAGCTGGGTTCATTATTTTTTTTTTTTATTTAACCTTCGTTAATTTTTATGCAAGATAAAGAAAAATAAAAGTTTGTTTGTGGAAAGCAAGGAATTTGTGGATGTTTCAAAACACTTGGATTGAGGACAAGGTTGTGGCTGATTTAGCTGGACATGATTGGAGGGAATTTGACAGGGAGGCAGCTTGATATTTTTAGCTTGTAGTCTTTGTTGCAGGTTTTAGTTTAGTATGCCTTTTGCTTTGCTGGTTTGTTTTGATGTATATTATTGCTTTTGTTTGGGAGTTCATCTAGGCCATTGATAGTGATAGTGCAGTGGATGAATTCTCTTTTGGGATTGGCCAAGTCTGCAGTTAGCTTTTGGACTCAATGAGGCTTACATTGCTAACACCAAGCTTGCAAACTTGTATCTCATTTTTAGGTAGCTTTTGTATAGTTGGAGTAGTATTTCTTGTTGTTGGGATTGATTGCCTCGTCAGGCTTTTGTAGACCAGTTGGTCTTCGTATTGTACAATCTTTTTTTCGGAGTTAATACATTGTATCGTTTCGGAAAAATAAAAAGTTTGTTTGAATGCGATAAAAATGTACATTTTTTTAACCATTTATTGTATGTGTTTTTTTTTTTTGCAAAATAATTCTAGCCCTGGTAGATTTGAAATCCTGGCTCCGCCCCTGCGTATATAGTTAATTTATGATGCATATTTAGTTAATTCATGATACATATTTAGTTCTTACGAAATGCATATTTAGTTCATGAACAATGCATACATAGTTTATTTGAGATCCAGTCATAACAATTTATTCGTGTAGATCAATAACTTATATTAATCAATTTAAAATTAAAATTATTATATAATAAAAATAAATTAATTATTATATTTAATTTAATTGTATAAAATTTATATTTTATTGCATATATTCGTTGCATATTTAGTTAATTCATAATGCATATTTTGTTAGTAAAATGTGCATATTTAATACATAAACAGTGTATACGTAGTTGATATTATTGGTGCATATTTAGTTCATAAGGATGACATGTATAATTCATATCTTATGCATATTTAGATCATATTAAGTGCATAGTACTGTATGCATATTTACTTCATACATAATGCATACTAGGGGTCAACGGGTCAACGCCACAAGTCAACGGTCAACACCGGAATTCAACGTCGGAACTCAACGGTCAACGCGGGAGTCAATGGTCAAGTGTCAAAATAATATTTAAATAATTAAAATAATAAAAATAAAGAATTAAGTAATAAAAATAAAGAATTATTATTTAAATGAAGAGTTAAATCTTGGTCACACATCATGTACCAATCTAGTGGCCAAGAATGAGTCTCACATGCACACTTTATATGTGGACTAATTGGATCCAATCCCTATATATATATATATATATAGATGGTTGGGTTCACATGAGAATGGTTCTCAATGAAAGAAATGAGAATAAATAGTAGCCATTAGATCATCCAATCTAATGGCTAAAAAAAAGTCAAAATTATACCTCATTAAGGGTAATGTGGTAATTTTTTAAACATCACAACAAAAAAGTGGGCCCCAAACACATTTAACTCACCTGTGAACTACCCAATCACGGTCAACCCACACACCTCATCTCACCCAACCCCACACCACACCACAATCTCTCACACACACTCAACTACGAAATACACACACAACACCCCCAACAACAGGTTTGAAAGATCTGTCACCGTCCCCCGCCAGTGGCCCGCCGTCTACCGCCTGTCGCATCCTCAACTCTCCCGCCGGCAACCGCCATCACACTCCAGACAAGCTGCAAAACCTCCGTCGTCGGCGACGACGCGGACCGTCGAAGAGTAGAATTCTGACCACCTCCATGAAATTCGCCGCTGGCCATCCTCCAATGACCACCACACTCAAATCCGCCATCGTAACTGTTGGGATCAATGAAGATCTCGTTATGCACAAATCACGAATTCAATAGCAAAACGTAAACATATGCGCAGCGGACCTAAAAGTTTGCGTAGAGAACTTACGGCTTAAAGTTTATGGTGATCTGGCTGATCTTCTGGATGGCCATACACAGCACACTAATGAATTGTTGACTACAAATCGCGTCCTAGGATTGCACGAACAAGATCGGAT